GTATCTTTTATCCCCACTCCATAACACTTGTGCGTAGATTTCTATAATTCACTGTGGGAAAAAACCCTTTGGTGTACAGTGCGCGCTATTGAGTTCACTAATAGCTTGGCAAAATCCCCACGGGTGAAAAGTCAGTGTGGATAATTAGTATTTTTCAGTTTGTTGATAGCGATTGGCAGATACGACGGTAATGCTAGCGTTGGAGGTTTTACTCTGTGACCTTAGGCCCGCGTTCAGCTCTGTACGACACATGTCTCATGTACTGTTTTGCACCTGTGCTTTTGCCCACGCGGCACACCACATGGCCTCTTGCTCTGCCCCGTCAGAACCAAGCTTATGCCTTCTCTAATCTCTTGTAATCTATCAAAATCCTATTTAGCTTGTTACTATAATCTGAGCAGCCAGCCTCTCATTGTGCTGTATCCTTGTACTGGAAACATGATGAGACGCTTACTGCTGCTGAATTCCGTGAACTTGTTCTACTCATCGCTGCTTCATTTTTTTCACAGCTTGCGATAGCTCCAGAGTTATTCCCCTTAACACTTGAGAACTTGGAGTTTAGAAACCTCACAAAAATCAAAGTTATTAAATCAATCTAACTCGTTGCAAGCTCTCAAAAGGGTTTTACTTCTATAACAAGTTTTCACACATATATTTTTGGTCTCTGTCACATCTTGAGATCAGATTTGTCTAACAGAAAAAGAGAGGACCAGCCCTTCCTTAGCCTCAGCTCTCAGTATAGAAGATAACATAACAATAAGAACAAGACATGTGGTTGTCTGATTTGTTCACAAACTGTTACATAAACAAGACTCTTTCTGTTGGAACAAACAAAATCATTCATGACTAAAGTTAGGTATTCCAGCTATAATGCTTGAAGACATTGACAGCCCTTTCTAGTTTGCTCTAGATCCAGAGACTGTTGTGTGCGTACTGGTGACACTGGAGTCCTGTGTAAATTGTGTTTGCGGTCGTACGTAGTGAAAGAGTAGAGCATGACCCTTGAAGCTGATGCCGCCTTTTTTAAATAATCGTGTTAGGAGAATATAGTCAGGCACACAGGAATGAGTCTGTGGTATGAACCCTGCAGTGGATTCACGTAACTGTGAAAACGCTGTACCAATGAAATATCTGCTTGACATAGTTGAGCCGCACAAAGGCCTCTTTGTCTTGGTCATCTTTTCTGCTCATGTGGTATGTGTGCCACAGGCCAGATCTGCATCACTTTGTTGAATTGTGTTAATTTAGCTTGTACACTTGTTGCTGTTTTTAGCCTGGGTGCTTCACATTCCTCACTTTACTCTGTTTGACTGTGGCTTACGTTGGCATGTGTCTAAAGTATGTTCGATGTCTTCAGTTGCAACATAGAGTTTGTTCTAACCCTAACTCTATGAAGTGTTGGTCAAAGTTCAATGTTTGTTTTAAGTCATTAGGACTTGAGATTTGTCAGTACAGTTTGAGACACGTGTGTAGTTGTACACTATTTCAGATTAGTCCCAGATTTCAAGTTTCCAAAGACGCACACAGACAGACACACATATGCTTGCAGAGTGAGGCCAGTTCCTTTCTGTTGGCTGACATCCCTCCCTCCTAAATGGCTGGAAACCGGTAGTGTGCTAAAAATAGCACAGAACGCAGCTAAGAATAGCCATGACGGTCTGTGAGTGTGTGTGACTGTGGTCTGCCTCTGAATGAGGCGTGTGTGTGTGTGTGTGTGTGCGTGTGTGTGTGCGCTCGTGCGTGTGCGTGTGTGTGTGTGTGTGGGCGTACCGTGGGCCGTAGAAGGAAAATAAAGAAGAGAAGCAGCAGAAGGCTGAGTCGTCCAGTCAGAGTTCCCCTTTCCCACCGACCAGAACCACCTCGCCTCACCACAGGCAGCTCCCACACAGTCTTTTTCCTTACCACCCTTTTATGGCCTTGTCTTTTAAACCTGATATTTCAGAGAATTAGTGGGGTTACAGTTACTATATTACAGTTTAGTAACGTTTTTTTAATTTACAACACATATTTTCATCCGTTTAACTCAACAGTTTTTACCAGAGAGGGAGGACCGAACAAAAACAGCCAGTTTGGAATGTGCGCTATCACAACATGTGTTTTATGTGAATCGTGTTCTTTTGGCAGACCCTCAAAGTTCATCAGTAAACTACAAAACAACTACTGCATATTACTTCTTATTTGGTATAACAATGAGGTTTTTGATCCTCTGAAGTTCCTGTAGCCCCTCTGAAGGGCTCTGGGGTCTGTTTCTTATTACACTCCCAGTCAGACAGAGCAAACTCACGCTGCAGTGATGTCACATGATGCAGAGGTGAGGTTTGACCATGGATCTGTTATAATATTGGGTTTGACATACGCCCTGACAGGACAGAAGAATCATCGTGACCCATCTTCATAAAATCAGTCACTTCTTCCTGCACGTAGAGTTAGTTTTTGTATTTGCACTCGACTGTAATTATGATTTAATGAGCCAGCAGGGAACTTTTGATGATTTCAGGGTGAGGGCCAGACTTGCTCAATGTGAGGGGGTGGCTGTAGCCCACACAAGTAAAAATAGCCTTCTACGGCCATCGGTGCAGGGGCTGGGGTTGCATTGGTCGGGCTGGTGGTCGGACCTGCCCCTTATCCAGAGCCCCCGCCGTCCTCTGGAGCTAAACAGGTGGACATGACTGAGATAACAACACCGAGCCAAATGTTGTGAGTCCCCTGTGTGAGTGCTGAAGCAGACCCTCCCGAGCCAAACCACATACTGTACAACTCAGTCTGCACTCCTGACCTGCCCTCAACTTAAGGAACTACTTTGATTTGAGTCAATATAAAAGGGATTAGAGGGGTTTTTTGTACGTCTTAAAGGTTGTGCTCAGGGAGGATGGTCCATGTGTGTGGGTTTAGGTTGTGCGTAAATGGCAATGGCACCCCCTAGTGCACACTAGCGTGATGCAGTCACTGTGTATTACTCATGGATCTATAATAATTACTGTTGATGAGAAATGAAGCTTGTTGTGTTCTATTCAATTAAATTAAATGCATTCTTGTATAGCCCTTAAATCACAACAGTAGTTATCTTGGAGGATTTTACAAAACCGTTGAATTCACCGACACAGATCAGAGAATCAAAGAGTTCAAACACAAGAAATGCAATGATGAAAACACATAGTTTTAAGGGCCAGATGACCAATGGTCATACATGCTGATGAATGTCCATAAATGTTGTCGAATGTCAAGGATCATCCCCACTGTCCAGAGACAGTCCTGCATCGGCAAGGAAAAACTAACAAAAAATCCAGTAGGAAAAAGTGAGAAACTTCTGGGAGGTCCACTTTGAGAGGGACGGACAGGCTGTAGATCCAGGACTCAGGCTGCAGAATGAGGACCGAGGTCATGCTATGTTTCTATAAATTCATAATTTGTCATTCTTTGTTTGTGATTTCAGACACTGCGTAAGAAAGGCTTGAATGGTTGTGACAGCCCAGACATAGAAGCAGATGACTCTGCTGGTCAGAGCCCGGATTCTGATGACAAGTATCGCAAAATAAATGAAGACATCGACCTCATGATCAACAGACAGAGAATTTGTGTAGGTCATTCTCTTTTGATGACAATATTTTTCAACACTAAATCATCAAGTTTCATCTAACACCGTATTTGTGTGTATTTCGTAGGCTTTGGCCCCCTCTAACTATGACATGGGTGTGTCGATGAGTGGCAGTAGCCCCAGTGGACTACTCTACCCTCATCCTGCCATCGGGAATGGGATGAGCAGCCACAACCTGCTGCCCCTGTCCCACTCTTCTATGCAGAGGAACAGCATGTCTCCTCAGCGGCCACCAAGCACTGGAAACACAGGTGTGACTACAAGCTGTTTAAAAAAAAAAGAGTTGCTTAAAGAAACAATACATGACTTTATCTTTATTTCTTTACCTTTAGGGGGATTGATGAGCCCAGAGCTGGTGTCCAATGTTGGTAAGTCTACATTGTGCTGTGTTCTGTTTGGTAAATACATTTTTACTATAGGATTCTCTTTTTTTGTTGCAGTAAATGGAAACTATAACCATCACTGCCCCTCCCCGGGACTGCTGTCATCAGGGGTCTCAAAGAATCTGCAAGACAAGAGTCCACCTTCAATGGGCATGAGCCGGAAGCCTGACCTGCGGACTCTAATGCCCCCTTCCAACAAATGCAACAACATGCCGACCATTGTAAGTAGCATCTGTCCTCACATGTTTAGTTTGGGCTTTTATTTGGCATCTGATAATGTTACTGTGCATTTTAATGCTTACCAAAAGTGTGAGGATTTTGATCAGATGCTGGTAAGTGTCCCTTGTTGTATTGTCTTCTTACTCAAACATTGTATACTGTATGTTTTTAATATTGTATATGTAAGGACATTTTCTTTAGATTATCATTAAAAAAGGCTGTGTCATTCTTAATCTCTCTCAGAATCAAAGGATAAATCACTCTCAGACGGCCCAGACGTTAAACACTCCTGCTGTGTCTCTCAATGCGCCCACTTTGGCGTCACATGGAATGGGCGGGTACCCCTCCTCACTGTCCTCCCCTTACGGAACAGGTAACCCCCTCTATTAGCCATACTAGTACTGCCTGTATAACCTTCCAGGTTTATGAAAAGTTAAAATATGATTGATGTGATTATATTATGTTTGTTAAATGGTGATAATGTGTTTCTTTCCTCAGAATTTTCTCTGGGAAGTGAACTGTCCTCCCTGTCTGGTTTTGGTAGTCTAGGACATGGCTCTGTCACCGGGTGGCAGCAGCAGCAGATCCAGAACATTCAGCATTCAGCGCTGGGACACATGAAGTGAGCCCAAAGCCAGTGAAATAATAAACAATATTTATATAAATATATATACTTTATAACAGTCTTCTTTGGTTTTCTCTCAGTAACTTATGCCAGAACTCCAACCTGAACCTGTCGCCGACTCAGCAGAGTCTTCACATTAAGTCTGAGCCGGCCTCTCCGCCCCGGGACCGCAGCGGGGCCATGGTCAGTGTTCTGGGGGCTGCAGGATACAGCCGCGCTCCAAACGAGTCCGGACGCTCTCCTGGTGACAGCGCCTCCAGCTGCGGGAGCTCGTACGACGGCGAAGACCGAGACGATCACCATGGAAACGACAGCTTCCTGCTGAGGCCTCTCTCCAGCGTGGAGGAGCGACACAGCCCGTCCGTGAAGAGGATGAGGTTATCAGAAGGCTGGGCCTCATGATGGAGCTGAGGCCGTTACTACAGTTACCTTATAGTGTTATTACCAATATGATATCTTGTATTGTGTGGGTGTGCTTTCTGTAATGATGACATGTATGTAGCAGAGGAAGTTTGTCCGGTTCTATGGGAGTGATTTTCTAATTTCAGACCTTCATCTGTACACAAGATAAAGAACAAGACTGTGTACATATAAAACTTATATTTGAGAAAGTAGATGCTGCACATTTAACAATCGCACGTGCGTTATACTAAAACGATGAGATGGGTCATTCTTGGAATGAGAGAGAACAGTCCAACTGTAAGTTCATTGCATATGTTGTATGTGCTAATACATTTGGAGGGGAACATTTTTGTTAGGTAAGTTTTTTATGCCAAAGACTTAAGAAAGACAGAGTAAGAAATGAGAATGAGAATGAGAAAGAAATAGATGGACTGGACACAAAGATTGGTCCTTTTGCAAGAGGTTTTAGTATAAGAGAATGGTTGGTTAGTATGTTGCAAAATATACAGAACGGAAATGATACGAAGAAGATGGATTGACAGCAGTATTGCCCTCAGAGCCCAGAAAGCCAAGAAATGTGACCCAGGTATAAGTTGCATCAGATCAATGCTTCACCAGTTTCAGGCGGACTCAGTTCTTTGATTCAGAGATTAAGAAGCTCCTCACAGCTTTGCATGATTTAACAAAGTGAGGATTGCACTCCTGAAGCCATAACAACTGAACAAACTTACATGTTAATGTTTTTTATGTATTATTATTTCTATTATTTGCAAATGGAGATTTTCTATGTGTATAAAGCAGTAAATATGAATACAATGATGGGGCAAGCAGGTGCACTCGAACATAGGAAATTAACTTAATTTGTTAAAATTCAGCACAGTCATAGGATGTTTCTTTTTGCATTAGATAAAGGGGTTAGTTACATTTTAAAGTACATACATTTGAAAGTGAAAAAACCCTTATAATTCAACTATTGATAAAACAAAGCTGTACCTGTAAGTGTAATGTTTTTCAAATGACTGTTCAGCTTGGCACTAATTAAACACTTTCAAATGATATTGTTTTAAAAAGCAGTAAATGCATTTCTGTGCCTTTTGTAGAAAGACAGCCACTTGCACCGTCATTGATGAGGATGTATGATCGTCTGTTTGAAGACATGGCGTGGCCTGGGGTTTCTCCCATTTGAATATTTTGGTTTTAAACTGTATATTTAGAATCAAAACTCCTGGCCACAGCTGTCTGTAAGGTCTTTCTGAAACTAAACCCCCTCAAATGCCTGCAGCTGTAGTTTGTCCTGTATATGGAGCTGGTTATAAGCTGATGATTTTTATTTTTTGTAGATTCACATTGTGTTCATGGGCGATGTGAACGCTAACTGTTGAAGCTCAGGAGCTCCAATAGTGTTGGTAAATCTGTATAGGCTATTTGATCATAGCTGGACTACACATGTACCTCAAATGTATTTATATCTCCCCAGGTTTGTGGTTTAATTTAAGTTTTATTGATTAGTTTTTGCTGACAGTGAATGTCGTATGCTATGTAGTGCTTCTAAAAACGATTTGTTTTAGAGAAAGATAAGCGTTTGTTAGCGGCATAAGCTGGACTTTGTCGTCACTTGGAGACAATGTTTCTTGGAAAAAATGCACCTTGTCACTCTCTCAGAAATCATGTACAGCAAATTCCTCTTTCACGTGTATTTGTATTTACAGAAAAAAAATATATACATACATACTGGCTCAAAAAATTTCTTGTGTCATTATTATACATTTCCCCCTATGATTTGACATATATATCTGTGGTCACCACTACATAACCAAATGGAGAATTACATTAATTTAGTAAGTAATATTTATTTATTTATTATTTACAGACCAAGTTCAGATTTTGTATCATTCACTCCACACACGGTGATGACAGAAGCTCATCAAAGCCTCTGATCAAACACCATCTATCCATTCACTCGTTACATTCAGACTGATTGTTCATGGTTTTAGTGGTAGGGGAAACCTGAGCACCTGGAGGAAACCTACGCAGACATGGGGAGAACATGCAAACTCCACTCAGAAAGGCCCTGTTCCGACAGAGATTCAAACCCAGGATCTGTTATCCACTCAGCCACAGTTTTTCCCAAGCTATAAAACATAAATGTTAAATTGACTGTAAGGTTAGTCCAACAAGGTTTGGTCTTCTGATAGATGAGATCATGCCAGAACAAGAGCAACTCAAATCGGCCATCTCTGACCACTGAGGGAACCAAACACAAACGCTGGATCGAAGAAGCATTAGACAATCAGAAATGTACCACAAAACTATAAACCAGGACAAGGGGGCTTTTTACTCATGAACACCTGGGATTCTGTCTTGAAGAAGTCGGACAGCAGATGGCGCTGTGGAAACAGCTGACAATACACATCAAACATCACGTGACCACTCTGACGAAGACTTTTAAAACAAGCTGTATACTGTCCTAATGTTGCTAGTTTGAGCCATATTTTGAATAATCTATGCAGTATTTCGTAATTCTAATTTACTAACTAGAAAACTTTACTAATTACATTACATCTGAGAATCACCCTAATTTAAAGTCCAACTTTTTGTTACAATAATGCCTCACCAAAGGCTTTCCCAGAACAATACTAGTTCTTATGCTTTCAAACCATACCCAGAGATGGTAGCCACAGCTGCCCTGGGCCCCCACCACTCACACGCACGCACGAACGCACACGTACACCAGGTTTCCTCGTGCATGTGGGTCAAGTGCATGGATCTATAAGGTCAAGTGTTTTATTATTCTCTCAAGCAACATGTTTTCCCGCTAAAATGATAATAACTATATTTGTATCGAGCATTAGGGATATTTCTAAAACATGAATCACTTTTACAATGTGTAGGTGTCAGCTGTAATGTCTTGTTTATGAAGTTCTATTATTATATTCACCAAAGAAATGGAGTCGCTGGGGTGTTGCGGGCCTGGTCCGAAAAAACCACAAGGGGGCAGTCAATACACATTTGTATAGTAATTATTATCATTAGAATAATAACCGTAACGATAATTGTTAAGAGGTGGTTAAGACTGCCTAACTTTCTACCACAGAAAATAACTTTTAATGAAATCCAATGGACTATAAATAACTCTCAACACAGTTATATCATAGTTTTAATAGGAGTAGCCTTTGCTCAACCAATCAGCTCTCTGCCCAAAGCGTCAAATATTAGCTCACTGGGCTCCTTCTTACAAGTATGTGCCAAAGAAAATAAGTTTTAACATAAGATGGAGACCGCAAGTTGTGGGCTGATCTAGTCACAACATTTTACTTTTACAAGTATCCTTCTGTGGGGACAAACACAGGGATAAAGAAAAAGTTCCCCTTCTTAAGATTAAACTACTAGAACTCCCAACTATTATTTTGACTGCTCCCATTAAAACTAAAAAATTTCCCCCAAAAAAGTTTTAGTTAAAAGTTAGTTTTTCACCAGATGTATTAAAAATAATTAATAATACAGTTTTAACCTTTTACTCATTTTTAACTGAAATACTGCAAACAATACTAACTCTAACTGCTGCCAGTAAACAGTGTGTTGCTATGGTGACCAGCACTTTTTATTCTCTGATGGAAAATGAGTTAAAAATAGACCTACTCACAGTTCAAAAACAAAAGATAATTTCTTAAAAATAAAGATATAGAAATAAACTTCATATAGAAACAGACAACGCCACAGTTCCACAGACCAGAAATGTACACAAGCCGAGTAATTACACTTCCAAAACAAAACGCCCTGAGAGTCCTAGTGTTAATCTGTTTTTTTCTTATATTCCGCCATTCCAGTCTTCCTCTGTTGCAAATAGTTGCTTGTATATTTTAGGTGGCGTCCACAAATTGTTGGCAGGCCTGGTGCAGATGAGCAGGATGCCAGGATAAAGGGCGAAGGGCTTGACATATGAAGCGACTGACAACACGCAAGCAAATGCCCCACTCACCACACTTCAGACACAAGGGGCATATTGTGCATGTTTTGGGTGGTGGGGGAAACAGGAGCGCCCGGAGGAAACCACCCAGACATAGAAAGAAATATGCAAACTCCATACAAGATGGTGTGTTGGAACCCATAGACTTTACCACCATTCATGATTTGTCACCTGTCACCGGCATCTTGGACACTTGAGGAAGATTGTTGGTTATTCGGTTACTATTTGTCAGCAGGAAATTCTTTACTGTAAATGCTCTGGAGAAAATATAAGTGTACATTACCATAAGAACTCTCATAGCAGTCAATTTGATGGCTTTTTGTTTTGGAAGTGTAATTACCCAATTAATTTGCGTTTTTGGTCTTCATCATAACTTTGTGACCCTCCCCGGACGAGCTGGAGGAAGTGTGTGTGGATAGGGAAGTCTGGGCGTCTCTGCTTAGACTGCTGCCCCCGCGACCCGGCAACGGATGAAGCGGAAGAAAACGGACGGACGGACGGAACTTTGTGACTTTTTCTGTCTATAGTTCACTTCTATGTCATTATGCTTGTAATAATAATCGTGCACTGGTTTTATACATAGACTGTATTTTTATATAGCTTTTTGGAGACTCAAAGATGCTCCACATGTCATTACTATTTTACTCCATATAATGGTGATACACTATTATTGTAGCCACAACTGCCCTGTGGCAAACCATATGTGCCAACGGCCCCTCTGCAATGTGAGTGAAATGTCTTACCTGAGGACATATTTACAGTTTGGCAATTTACAGCCGCAGCCACCCCACTGTGGCACCTGGTGTTCCAGGAGCAAAGGGCACAGACATCACGACCATCTCCACCGACTCCCGAGGTCTCTGCACCCCCACCGCCTCAAAAGAACTCCACACCTCCACGATTCAAGAAGAACTCAACACCTCCAAGGTTCCAAAAGAACTCAACACCTCCACGGCTTCGAAAGAGCTCAACGCCTCCACCCCCAGCATCATCAGCAGCTGCCACATCTTCATCAGCGCCATCAGCATATACAGCACCACCAGCAGCAGTGGATACAGCCGCAGCAGTGGCTGCTCCATCATCTTCAGCAGCAGCAGTGGATACAGCAGCAGCAGTGGCTGCTCCATCATCTTCAGCAGCAGCAGTGGATACAGCCGCAGCAGTGGCTGCTCCATCATCTTCAGCAGCAGCAGTGGCTGCTCCATCATCTTCACCAGCAGCAGTGGATACAGCAGCAGCAGTGGCTGCTCCATCATCTTCAGCAGCAGCAGTGGCTGCTCCGTCATCTTCAGCAGCAGCAGTGGCTGCTCCGTCATCTTCAGCAGCACCTTCCCCACCTACAGCTCCCGTGAAGCTTCCCCCATTACTCCAGGCTACAGTCAGGCCTGTACTGGGGGTTCCTCAACCACCTCTGTCTCCACCAAAGACTCCCTCATCACCTTCCATGGACCCGGCTTGGGTCCCCCCCGCTACATCCACTCCATCTAGGGAAAATGAGGACGACCTTTCCCTTTGTTTTCTATCCCCGCCTTCACTACTGGATTTACCGGAACACTCTGCAGGCATGATAAGATCGGCGATGAAGACTATTCCTCTCACACCCACTGTAGCCAGATCAAGAGTCCTATCTAACATTCAAAACTACTCCCCATACGTACCTCCAAAGCCACCTAGGGCGTCCAACTCAAATTCTCCCACAAAATCCACCCGTCCCTCCTCTAACCCCATAAGTATTCCACCCCCCCCCCTGCTCATTTAGCCCACCTCCCCCCCCCTAACTCAGCACCAAGAAACCCTCCACCTCCACTCCCCCCTCGTCCACCACCCAACTCAGCCTGCCCCTCCCCTAACCCATCACCAAAAACCCATCCACCTCCCTGCCCCCCTCGTTCAACACCCAAAAGCCACCCACCTCTCCATCCTCCTCCCCCGCCTTCCCCTACCCCTCTTTTCTCTAAACACTAGGATGCACAGGGTCTCTGCTTCGCAGCCACTGGCAGTCTAGTTAGAGGAGAGACCCGGCTGGGGCCCTGTCATGAAGCCACCTGTGCCATTCCCTTAGTGATAACACAAAGAATACATTACAGAAAAACATCTGGAGTTAATCAGTCTAATCTGGAAAATCTAATTCTTGTTCCGTGTAAGAATCAGCCGACCGCAACCGCTGATACTGAAACTTTGAAACTTGCTACGCTTAATGTCAGATCTCTTTGTAACAAGTCTTTTTTAATCAATAATTTTATTTCTTCTCATAATCTTGATCTTATGTTCATGGCTGAAACTTGGCTTGACCAAAATTCAGAAAATGCAGTTTTAATAGAAGCATCACCACCAAATTTCAAGTTTGAATCTGAAATACGGGAAAACAAAAAAGGAGGAGGCTTAGCTGCCATTTTTAGAGACCACTTTGTCTCCCATAGAATGTCTCTTGGGAAGTTTTCGTCATTTGAATATGTGTCTTTTATAATACAACAAAAACAATCTCCTCCAATACTCTTCGTTGTCCTATACAAGCCACCGCAGTCATGTCACAGTTTTATTGATCATTTTACCGAGTTGCTTTCAGTTGTATGCACAGATTTTGATAGTTTGGTTATTACAGGTGATTTTAATATTCATGTGGATAATGTTGATGACAGAAATGCAAATGAGCTGAGTTCTGTACTTGAATCCTTTGATCTCACTCAGCACGTAAGTGGCCCCACCCACAGCAGAGGGCACACTCTAGATCTGTTAGTTACAAAGGGGGTGATTATTTCAAATGTAAACGTGGTCGATGTTGCTCTTTCGGATCATTTCTGTGTTTTTTTTGACATGTGTTTCACTAACAAACCACCAGTGGACTCTGCAACTGTTCGAAGAAGGCGCATAAATGAAAATACGAGTGAACTATTTATGGAAATGATAAACTTTGAGAATGCATCGTATTCTACTGTAGATGAACTGTTTAACTCTGTCACCTCTAGTGTTTTGAATGTTCTGGATACCGTTGCCCCTGTGAAGGTTAAAATAGTGAAAAATAAGCAGAAGGCGCCGTGGGCTAAAGCAGACTCGGTCAGGGCACAAAAGAGAAAGTGCCGGAGGGCCGAGCGGAAGTGGCGCAAGTCCAACCTCCAGGTAGATTACGAGATCTTCAAAGATAAGTTGTGCGAGTTTAACCGGGTGCTACGTAGTACGAGAGAAAGGTATTTTTCTGAAATGATTGAAGGCTGCAGCAACAATCTGCGTGTTCTGTTCTCAACAGTTAATAGATTAACAAACCCCCCTGTTCAAATGCCATTAGAGCTTACTTCCAAACGTAAATGCAATGAGTTTGCTAATTTTTTCAATGACAAGGTTCAAGGCATCACAAAAGCGCCATTGTCTCCAATCCACAGATAACCATCCAACAGCCAGAAAGGCTCTCTGAGCTAACTCACTTTGCACCTGTAAATGATAAAACTGTCCAAGAGATAATCTCCAGTTTGAGCTCCTCCACATGCAGCCTGGATGTACTACCCACTAGATTTCTGAAGTCTGTTCTGAGCAGTCTGTTACCTTCACTCACACAGATAGTAAACATGTCCCTTCATTCTGGAATATTCCCAAAGGCCCTGAAAACGGCAGTCATCAGGCCCCTGCTAAAAAAGAGCAGTCTGGATGCCACTGTACTTAACAACTATCATCCCATCTCAAATCTGCCATTTATGGGAAAGTCCTTGAGAAAGTTGTCTACCTACAGCTTACTAGATTTCTTATAATCAACAACTCATTTGATATGTTTCAGTCCGGCTTTAGACCCCACCACAGCACTGAGACTGCTCTCGTTAAGGTTACAAACGATATCCGGCTGAACACTGACGCAGGAAAAGTCTCAATCTTAATCTTGTTAGATCTAAGTGCTGCCTTTGACACCGTCGACCATGAGATCCTCTTACAGAGACTAGAGGACTGGGTTGGCGTCACTGGCACCGCCCTAAGTTGGTTTAGGTCTTACCTTGAAGACAGGAAGTACTTTGTGGAGATTGGAAACTGTGTCTCAGATCATATGGCCCTGACCTGTGGAGTCCCACAGGGGTCGATCCTGGGACCTCTTCTGTTCAATCTCTACATGCTGCCGTTAGGTCAGTTAATACGCAGAAACAAAGTTTCCTATCATAACTATGCAGACGACACTCAGATCTATGTCTCACTGACTGCAGGAGAACATGGACCAGTGGACTCACTCCTTCACTGTATCTGTTATGAAGGCAGGGCTTAAATAGAGCGTTTTGTATATAGTTGTAGTACCTGATCTGGCCACCAGGGGCGCGCCCGCTAGTGAGCAGTGAAACGTTTTGGGCTGTTTTAGTGATGTTCTGTGTGCTCGAGAGATAATGGCAGATTACAGTGCTGTGTGTAAAAAGCTTGTGTGCGTCCATTAGAGAGGTGGGTGATTGTCAATAGTGTTTAATATGTGTTATGGGTTTGGGAATGGGTTAGAATTGTAGTTTGAGTGTTTAGTGCAAGTTCATGGGGATTGAGGCTAGTTTAGCTCCTGGGCTAGGTGGCTAGGCTAGTCCTCTGAGTGTATGTTTACTCATTACTTTCTTATTTAAATACACTTGGTAGTGAATGGTTTGTCTGTTAGTGCGAGTTAGAGCCAGGAGTATCTGAGTTGTGTTCATTCGTGTGTAATTCAATTTATTGTTAAGATACAGTTAAAGCTAAGGCATTACAATGCATATGGCCAGAAAGAGGCTCATTCACACTGAGAGAAAATGTTCAGTAGTCATGTTATTAGCACTGGGTTATTATGTTATTAGGTTAGGAAGACATTAGTTTGATGTGTATAACTATGTTTAGTGTTATTATTATATTATGCTAATTGTAGTGATGCACATTATTACTGTGTAGTAACTGTTATATTATTCTAATATTTTGCTTCTATCTGTTTGTGTTACAGAACCACACACACACACACACACACACACCACAAACACACCGTTCTGTACAACTCAGAATAAAGAGAATAACCATCAACAAGGCTGATCATTTGCATCCTGACCGATGTCCACTCCGCGACAACAATAAGACAATAACCAGCTAATTATAGTGAAAGCTTCACTACAAATTAGGGTCCTTCGAGCCGGATAAAGTTGATTACGGAGTGAAGATGGAATATGATTACCAGAGTAGTGGTGCCCGTCCACGGAGGGCGGGGCGACCACCTGGATGGATGACGGATTATGAGGGTTATACACTGCCACATCCTGCACAGGAACAACACAGAACCAGGGAGGGATCTGCCGAGATGACACCCCCCACACAACGGCCAGGAGCTTGGCATGAGACAAGTGCGCCACCTTCTGCCAATGTAGGAATACCCGGAGTTATGCACTTTATGCAGCAGCTGCAGGAGGATAACAGGCGGCTTCACATGCTAGTTGCAGAAATGAAGAGGCAAATGGATCGTGCCCCCTCCTCCTCAGGCCTACGTATTGTTCAGACCCCAAGTGACAATACATGGCAGTCCAGCATTCATTCACCAACGGGGCAACAAGGTTTTATTGACGCCCACAGAGGAATTGTGGAACCGGAAGAAGAATGGCCATTACCCCCACCCCCAGTCTTCCTTCCCTCTGACTTTCCAGACCCTCCACCACAAGTGCAGTTTGCGTCACCCACTCAACCTCCGGCCCTGGTCCAAGAGCTCAGTCAACGTCTGCAAGAGTTACATACACAAGGTACGGCAGCTCCAGTTACTCACCACGCAGATACTCACAGCCGTGCACCCCAGAGCGTACCCCAGCACGTCCCCATTGGAGATAGTCCGGGAGGCAACATCCATCCTCCTGATCAAGTCCCCACCTCCATTCTGCCAGTTTCCAGTAGAGAGAGGATATACAGAGGTCCGACCCCGTCCATACCAGAGTTTACCCGAGCCGATCCCAGACAGTTTGCACGCTTGAGGCTTGCTTTGGATAATATTCTGCCATTCGATGCAACAGAGAGGTTCAAATATCAAGTACTGTGTGATCACCTAAGATTCGAAGAAGCACTTCTGATCGCTGACTCATATAGTAACTCTGTTCGCCCATACACCGACACGATGGCCTCCCTCATCAAGCACTTTGGTCAGCCACACCATCTATCATTACAGAGGATAGCCGAGCTGATGGACGAGCCAAATATCCGTTCCGGTGACACGGCAGGATTCAGGAAGTTTGCTCTGAGAGTCCGAGCGTTAGTCGGTATGCTGGAGCAGCTCGGTCAAGATCAGTGGCGGCTGGTGGAATTTTCTACTGGGGGGGCTATGAATATGATGACTAGATATAAATGCACCACAGAATTTGACACAGTCTATTATTTTTGATAGGATGTGCCTATTCTTGTCAACCTCCTCATTGTGCTTTCTGATCCCTACCCTGTAGCTTTCATCCAGCTGGGATGAAATATTTATCTTCCCAAACATAGCTAATTTGAGGGCATTTTGCATGTGGATACCAGTCTGCTCATGCTTCTTTGCCTTTTCTAAAAAGTGCTTCATATCAGTCATACCTGTCTTGATCCATGCTGGGTCAGATCCTGATGTTTGAAACAAGAGGCATGGAAAGCAAAATAAAGCATTAGCCTCGCTACATGCTGCTAGCCAAGATTTGGCGCTGAACCAGGTCCTGGAAAAAGTACGAGTGTACCGTCTCCCCCTGTCGCTGGACTGCTGACTAATGGTAATATTTGGCTGATCAGGTCCAAGCTCTTTAACCTCAACCTTCTCCTGGTATGATCTTCTCTCAAACGGTATTGTTTTGAGTGATCTAACTGAATTATTCTTTTTCTCGTTCTCCATTTTGCGTCTGTTTACGTTCGTCTCAAATTCCCACAGCTTGACCTGTCAATCACTGTAAACGGACGTCACAGACAGTGACAGTACAGGTCGCGGGCGATCCCGCCCCCTCAGGGCGCACTTCTCCTGCGCCCCCAAATCGTCTTATCTCTTGCATTGAAGAGGAGCTACTGCGCATGTACAACTTTTAACGAGAGTCCATAGACGGCTCAGGGCGCTATCTTTTGCGCCCTGAGGCGGAAATACGTCCACAGACAACGCTGATGAGCTTAATCAATCCAACTCAGCATAAACTATAAAGTATTTCTTCCACATCTGAAATAAAACACACATACATTTCGAAATATTTTAATGTTATTTTTTTTTTAACGTTTTATTCAAGGTAACATGGCAAGTTGTGAGTGGTGGGGCGGCGCCCTAGCGCCCTCTATTGGCTGGCCGCCACTGGTCAAGATGGACACATAGAGTTACAGTGTGGATCGCATGTCGCAAGACTCACCAAGAAGCTACCTCAAGACCTCCGAGCTGCCTTCCGCCGCTACCTCTACCCACAAAACAATGGTGTGCCATCACTGAGAGACTTTGCAGAATGGCTGGAGTATGAGCTAATCATTCAAGAGGGCGAAGATCGAGGTGGCAAGGTTGAAGACCACTTCCGAGACAAGAGAAGCATGAAACGAGATCATCGATCTATTAAGAGGAGTACAACGGTGTTGCTAGGCGCCACCCAGAACAGTGCCGTACAAGAGGCCCAAGCCACGCCCACTTCAGAGAGCCAAGAGAAGCCCAAAGCGTACTGTCCCTACTGCGCTAACACCATGCACTTTCTGGATCAGTGCTCTAACTTCCAGCTGTTGACTAAAGAGCAAAAGACCAGCTGGGTGAAGTCAAAGAACCGCTGCTGGCGCTGTGGGCGGGGCCATCAAGCCGCTCAGTGTCGACTTCGAGTTCAATGCAAGACATGCAGAGGAAAGCATCTCGAGGCCCTGCACGAAGTGAATGTTCGACCAGCTGCACCCAGTAGCACAAACCTAACGCTAACAGAGTCCAAACCAACGACAGATGTTCTCTACTTAGATCGTCGAGCGGGGTGCAACCAAGTGCTCCTAAAGACATGTAAAGTTCTGCTGCGGAACGGTGAGCACACATTAGAGACATTCGCCATACTCGACGACGGGTCTGAGAGGACTATCTTACTGCAGGAAGCCACCCAGAAGCTACAGTTAAACGGGACCCCAGAGAATCTCCTGCTACGCACCGTGAGGCAAGGAGTGAGGACATTACATGGGTCCTCAGTGACAGTCAAAGTTTCACCGGCCAACCAATTAAGCAAGACCTTCACCATCGAGAGGGCCTTCACTTCAGCTGATTTGAGCCTATCAGAGCATTCCCATCCCGTAGCAGCACTTCAACAGAGGTACAGACACTTAAGAAAGCTACCACTGCAGCCCTTCACAAATGTCCGGCCACTGCTACTTATTGGCTCTGACTGTCCCCACTTAGTCACGCCCATTCAACCCGTACGTCTGGGTCCATCCGGAAGCCCTGCTGTAGTCAAGACAAGGCTTGGTTGGACACTACAGGGGCCTGTGTCACTCACCCAACAGCTCAATCACCCCCAGCAGTGCCTCTTCCTCTCAACTGCCTCCCCCAATGCAGAGCTCTTCAATCAAGTAGAGAAGTTATGGCAACTTGACATTCTGCCATACAGGAGCGAGAAACTAGTCACCCGGTCTCTAAGAGAGCAACAAGCCATGAGTCTTCTAGAGGCGAAGACGACCAGAGTGAACGTGGAAGGAGTGAACAGGTACGCCACCCCACTTCTGCGCGTCAACAACATGCCCACGTTGTCCGTGCCCCCTACAACGGTGCTCCCTAGTCTGCGTGGTACCGAGAGACGCCTCAGCCGAGACCCCGTGAAAGCAGCAGCCTATAAAGCAGAGATTGTGAAGTTGAAGACGGCAGGCTACGCCACAGAAGTCAGTGATGAGCAGGTGAAGTCCTCAAGTGAGTCATGGTTCATCCCTCACCATATGGTCACCCACAATGGGAAGAACCGCGTAGTGTTCAATTGCTCATTCACTTACCAGGACCAAAACCTGAACGAACTGCTGCTCCCCGGCCCAAACCTAGGTGCCTCCCTCCTTGGTGTCTTACTGCGTTTCAGAGAACATTCGATTGCCATCAGCAGCGACATCAAGGGGATGTTCCACCAAGTGAGATTGCTGCCCGAAGATCGGCCACTACTGCGGTTCCTCTGGCGTGACCTCGAGCGAGACAATCCCCCCAAAGTGTTCGAGTGGCAGGTACTTCCATTTGGAACCGCATGTTCGCCATGCTGTGCCATCTATGCCCTGCAGAGACACATCCATGACCACAGCCAACCAGGAGACGACCTTCGGACCTCTATAGAGAGTCATTTCTACGTGGATAACTGGTTGCAGAGTTTCCCCGCCGCAGATGGGGCCAAGGATGTTATGGAGAGGCTGAGAGGGCTGTTAAATGAAGGCGGCTTCGAGCTCAGGCAGTGGGCCAGCAGCAGACCCGATCTCGTCAGTCATCTGCCAAAGGAGCTGAGATCAGAGAGCAGTGAACAATGGCTGAACCACACCGACATGGACCCTCAAGAACCCGCACTTGGTCTACGTTGGTTGTGCCATTCTGACACGCTGCACTATAAGTCCAAACACCTCGAGAGTAACCCAGCCACCATGAGACACATCTATCGGGTATTGGCCAGTCAATACGACCCCTTAGGGTACCTCATCCCATTCACAACAAGGGCTAAAGTACTTGTCCAGCAGCTGTGGAACAAGAAGCGTGAGTGGGACGACCCTCTGCTGCCAGGCGAACTGCTCACTTCATGGCTGGAGTGGGAAGCAGAGCTGGAGGAAATGGATAAGATCTGTCTACAACGTTGCTATGTCACCCCAGCTCTTGACATACCCGAATGCAAGAGAGAGCTCCATATATTCTGTGACGCTTCACAGCATGCCTATGGCAGTGTTGGATATCTGCGCACAGAAGGTCCAGACGGCCATGTGGAGGTAGCTTTCCTCACAGCACGTTCCAGAGTGGCCCCCAAACGACAAATTTCCATTCCTCGGTTAGAATTGTGTGCAGCTTTAACCGGAGCACAACTTGCCAGTGTCCTCACCAAGGAGCTCACATTAACGCTGGACAGGGTCGTGCTGTGGACAGACTCCACGACAGTCTTGATGTGGATCCAGTCAGATTCCTGCCGCTTCAAGGTGTTCGTGGGCACACGGATTGCAGAGATCCAAGAACTAACAGATCGCCAAGCTTGGAGGTACGTCACATCCAGTGAGAACCCTGCAGATGACCTCACAAGAGGTAAGAAACTTCAAGAGCTTACTAATCAGTGTCGATGGACGTGCGGCCCTCCATTCCTTTTGCTACCATCTCAGTGTTGGCCAGAGCACCCTGTTCCCCCATGTGAAGACACAGCAGAAGAACAGCGTCAATCCACTACATGCCTGGTCACAACTCTGATCCCTGACCCCTTGCCAGATGCAGGTCAGTTTGATACATTCCATGACCTTCTAAAAGAGACAACAAAGTGCCTCCACGGGGCGGCCAGTGCATCTGCCGATGACCCTTCAGCAGATGACTTCAGAGAGGCCGAACTCAGTATTTTAAGAGCTGCTCAAAGAGAAAGTTTCCCAGACGAAGTCCAGTGTCTCTCTGGAGGGAAACCAGTGTCTTCGACGAGTCGCCTCTACACACTTGCCCCAGAGTATGACCAATCACTGCAGCTCATCCGAGTAGGTGGCCGTTTGAGACGCTGCCACAACCTTGGCACTGATATCAGGCATCCGGTAGTGCTTGAGCCCAAGCACCCCGTGACAAGGTTACTCATCAAGCAGGCTGACAGTGAGCTAAAGCATCCTGGGGCAGAGAGAGTGTTTGCGGAGCTAAGACGTAGATTCTGGATCCTGCGGGGCCGTGAAGCTGTCAGGCGTGAACAACGTGGCTGTCCAGAA